AAATTAAATTCTAAAATTAAAAAAAAAATCATTCTGAAGAACCTAAGGGCAGGACAGTAATAAAGATGCAGACATAGAGAATGGACTTGAGGACACGGGGAGAGGAAGGGTAAGCTGGGACGAAGTGAGAGAGTGGCATGGACATATATACACTGCCAAATGTAAAATAGATAGCTAGTGGGAAGCAGCTGCATAGCACAGGGAGATCAGCTCAGTGCTTTGTGACCACCTAGAGTGGTCGGATAGGGAGGGTGGGAGGGAGACAAAAGAGGGAGGAGATATGGGGATATATGTATATGTATAGCTGATTCACTTTGATATAATGCAGAAACTAACACACCACTGTAAAGCAATTATACTCCAATAAAGATGTTAAAAAAAAAAAAAAATGAGCCACCAAGATAGTTCATGCCGTAAATAAAAAGTAAGAGAACCCATAGGATAAAACCAATGGACCAATGCATTTTTTAATTAGTAAGAAATAAATATTTCCATAAGAATTTCAGTATGTTTAGCTATTAAATGTACACTCCATTAAGAAACACACAAACATATTATATAGTCTTTGAACATTAAAATGATACTTAGAATTTAAGTTTTTATATGCTTTATGTTTCACATTTATTAAAGAATAAAGTCAACTTTTTCTATATTTCTCTCCTGAAGTAACTTTCACTTTGTCAGAAGTTCAATTATTATGGCACACAGTCCCTACTTTTGGTGTTATAAACTGGGCTTTTCAATCTATATTCCAGCTCTAGTTTGACCTTAAGCTATAGTAAAGTTTTTCCCTCCGTACACAAGGATTTGTTTCTATTATATACCAGTAGCACCCAGGCCTCTAACTGCCTTCCTGAAGACGACTTATAATACCCTAAAAATCACCCCTACTAAAATAATCAGGAGACCAAAGCAAACTAAGCACATTTGCCATTGTTTTTCAATATTATTGAATCCTTAACATAGCCCTGAAAAAGTTTTAGTAAACATGCTTTTTTTGCAGTAGTTGACAATTTTAGAGAAAAAGAAGTGCTCCCCACCCCACTACCATCCTCCTTTGTTAATAGAGAGCTTTTGGTTTTGCTTTTGTTTCTTTTACTTGCTTATGTTATTTATTTGCTTTGTTTTGATTTTCTTATAAGCATTTTGAATATCTTTCATTTTGGTTATACATTAGATCTTAACTTTCTCAAATTTTAATCAAAATGCTATTTTCGGTGTTATTTTAATTATAAACAAACTCTTACTCCTTGGCCTGTTTTCTACCAAAGTGAAACAAGTTGTGGCATTTAATATTTAATTAAAAAGTACTTTGGGGCTTCCCTGGTGGCACAGTGGTTGAGAGTCCGCCTGCCGATGCAGGGGACACGGTTCGTGCTCTGGTCTGGGAAGATCCCACATGCTGCAGAGCGGCTGGGCCCATGAGCCATGGCCGCTAAGCCTGCGCGGCCGGAGCCTGTGCTCCACAACGGGAGAGGCCACAACAGTGAGAGGCCCACGTACCACAGAAGAAAGTACCTTGAACTACATTGTATACCTTTAAACTGGTTTCTCACTCTCCCAGTTAGCAACACATCTTGCTTGAACACTGTGATTCTCAACTCACAAAAATAAAGTCCTAAAAAGATATTTTACCAGTTACCCAAATATTTATTCTATATTTAATTCATTTTTTCAACAAATATTTCTTGAATAATTATCATATGCAAGGCACCATGCTAAGCACCAGTCATTCTGGGAATAAAATAAACGTGGTACCCTCCTCTCAGAGTTTACAAGCCAATGAGAAAGAGAAAGAATAGTCAAGATAACTAATAAATAAATATAAATTTTCAAACTGTAAAAATTTCCGTGGGGGGAATTTCAGTGACAGAAAAGTGGGGACTTAACACAAATGAAAGTATTAGAAAGTGGTGCTGATCAGGTATCACTTGAACTGAAACTGAAGGGATGGAAAGGAGTTAGTCATTGAAAACAGGAAGTAAAAGAGCTTCAGGAAAAGAGAGTCACCTGTACAAATAGATGTCCCCAGTGTGGATTACAGCTGGGCATCTCTGAAACATTAAAGATGTCCAGGTTGATAGGGACATGGTAGTCAAGGAACGAGGAGATAAGGTTGAAGAGGTCAGCAGGGAGTCTGTAGTTTATTATAAAGGATTCAGATTTTTTTTTCCCCTAAGTACAAAGTAAACCTTCGGAAAATGTTTTAAGTTGGAAAGTGACATAACCAGATTCACACATCCAGATATAAAGTTGTAGATATGTACACATACATACATATATTAAATTTTTAATCACTATACTTGTTCTTTGGAAATGGATTGGAGATAGACAACTATGGAAGCAGAGAGGCCTTTTGGGAGACTATTCTAGAAGTTCTGCTGAGAGATCATGGGCACTTGGACAAGGATGGTGGCAGCAGGGATGGGAGGAATAGACCAAATTCAATAGATATTTTGGAGGCAAAAATTAAAGAAATTTCTGAGAGATTGGATGTGGAAGATGAGGGAGAGAAAGGAAACAAGGGACACTGTATCTTTCATCCACTTGGATCGGAAGAGATTGAGTGACTATGAGGCTGAGACTTAAAAATTTAAAAAGAAGTATGTAGAGTTTGGAGTTGTAGAAGGAAAAGCAGCTGTCCTTTAGCAAAAGAAATGTTCTCCTAATGTCTGCATTAAATACAAGGTGAAAATCAGTAACAAGAGCCTTCTTAGTTTGAATTTGCACCTTAGCACCCAAGTTTGCAGTTCCTTCAGCCACTCTTAATGATTTAAAGAACCTTGGGAATTCCCTGGTGGTCCAGTGGTCAGGACTCGGCACTTTCACTGCCAGGCCCAGGTTCAATCTCTGGTTGGGGAACTAACATCTCACAAGCCACGGGGTGCAGCCAAAAAACTAAAAAAAAAATAAAGAACGTTTACACAACTCTGATATCAAGAGTCACGGCTACCCAAAAGGTAAGGAAGTGCTTAAAAAAGGTTGGGGACAAAAAAAAAAAAAAAGGATGGGGACATGTCAAAAGAACAAATGAGGCTCTGCAGCAAATGTGTCCTTTCTTTTTTTAAGTTAGAGTTGATATGGCTAACATAATATGGGTTCCCAAGGATGCCCACATCCTAATCCCTGTGAATATGTTGCTTTACACGATAAAAGTGATTTTTCAGATGTGATTAAGTTAAACATTTTGACAGTGGGAGATTATCCTGGATTATGCATGTGGGCCCAACATAATCACAAAGGCTTCTTAAGAGGAAGGCAGGAGGGTCAGGATCAGAGAGGAGATATGACAACAGAGGCAGAGGTAGGATTGATGCAGGGCCACAAGCCAAGGAATGTGGTCAGCCTTTAGAAGCTAGAAAAGACAATAAAACCAATTCTCCCCAAGAGCATCCAGAAGGAACGCAAGCCTCCTGATGCCTTGATTTTAGCCCAAGATTAATTTTTGGACATCTGACCTCCCGAACTGTAAGAGAATAAATGTGTGTTGCTTTAAGCCACTGAGTTTGGGATACTTTGTTACAGAAGCAATAGGAAAGAAAGCAGTTAGCTTTCTGGCACATGACTGAAAGCCTCCTAATCCTATGAACAATTCAAAACCAGGTATGCAGTAAGCAGATCGACCTCCTGGATAGATCCCCACGCTCACGAAAAAATACAGAGCCTCTGGAGTGAGGTTATTAAAAATGTGATTGCAGTTTCAAATTTGATTTTTAAATGGAATCGAGATTGACTTTTTTTTTTTTGGGTTCGCGGGCCCCTCACTGTTGTGGCCTCTCCCGTTGCGGAGCACAGGCTCTGGACGCGCAGGCTCAGCGGCCACGGCTCACGGGCCCAGTCACTCTGCGGCATGTGGGACCTTCCCAGACCGGGGCACGAACCCGTATCCCCTGCATCGGCAGGTGGACTCTCAACCACTGCGCCACCAGGGAAGCCCGAGATTGACTTTTGATGGTATAGTTATTTTGAGTATATTTGACCACCACAGAACAATTGTTCTTCCAAACAAAATAAAGGTGCTCCTATTGGAACCAATATAGATTTCCTGCAGATCTTGTTAAATATCTACATTGATAATCACCACAAAGTCAAAAAAGTACAGAAGAAAACTCCTATAGGGCATTTACTAAAAATGTTAAGTTGATTAGAGGAATGTTTTAAGAGTATGAGGTCAATCAAGAATGTAAACTTTAGGGGCCTTGCCTGGTGGCACAGTGGTTGAGAATCCGCCTGCCGATGCAGGGGACACGGAGTCGTGCCCCGGTCCAGGAAGATCCCACATGCCGCGGAGCGGCTGGGCCCGGTGAGCCATGGCCGCTGAGCCTGCGCGTCCGGAGCCTGTGCTCCGCAACGGGAGAGG